TACCTCATCAGAATTTTAAACGTGACTCAAATGAAGAAATTCCATGCCAGAATTATAAATAAGAATAAAAATTTATCATTAGCTGCAGTTTTGTTTCTATTCAGTTCAACGTTATGAAACCGTTATTGTTACATCAAAACACGCTTGAATAGGAATCATAGGACTCCGTGCGAATTTTCACTAATTTGCTATATGAAACTCGAGTTATCCAAAGGCATCTTCGTCCCTCTCATTTCATATAAGTGATACTGTATTATTTTACTTTGGGTACGTGCATATTTTGTCTTACTTTCTGTTTTATTCTTTAATTATTTTTAAATAGTATTTCAAGTTAATCTTGGAAAGTGGATTAAACCACATTTCTGAGGCTCTGAGAGCTCTTTCAATACCAGAAACAGGTTTGACGTGTTTAGATAATTATGAGTTAAAATAACGTATGTATTATCTTAAACGGCGGAAAGGAAATGCTGAGAGAATACTGAATTCTGTGAGTAATCGTGAAAAAGTAGGTTGAGAGCAATTTCTTCCGCCCGCCATTCACAAAGTTGCGGAAAATCAAGGCCACAACGTAGGCATCTTGTCTGACACATCTTGTTCTCAAGCGATTCTGACGCATCTTTAAACAACCGACGCTTTTAAGGCAATTCAGACAGCCTCACGTCACTTTAGTTTCTACACGATAGAGTAATTGATTTTAAATTTTCTAAATTGTGACATGCTATGTGATTCATCACCTATAATTTATTAAGTCATATTTATTCCTGTCTGACGATATGTACACATCGTCAGACAAAGTTTTGAAGAAAATAACGAAACATAAAATTAGTTTTCCAAATTTAGGAAATTTGGAAATATAACTATTGTTTTTATTAAACTTTATCATTACATATGTCATGTAATGAGTGCGAATAAGATTCTAGGAAGAATCTGGAATGCCTATATTGTATGGATGAGTATTAATAAGTTGATCATAATATCCTCAAAACGAGATTATCATGCAATAAAGAATTAAAATTCGTCTGCGCATTTTTTAACGAATTTACAAGTTTTAGGCCAAAGGATATACATGTGATATTGTGTGATTTCATTAATAAGAGCATTAAAATGCGAGCCACTTATGCTACTTATTTATATCTAACGTTAGCCCTCTTATTTTTGTTCAGATAATTTCAGATAAGTATTCTAAAACAAGATGCTTCTCTTTTTTCAAAATATAAAAAGATAATGTTCAACTACTGTCTAAGAAACAGAATATATTTTCAGGCAAAATTATGTCTTACTTTTTCAGAAGAATAAAGCGTCGAAATCTATTTTCAGAGTGAAATGGGCTAAATTTCGCTTTTCGGAAATTCTCAAGAATAAAAGACGGAAAAATAAAACATTGCTCTTCATTAAATCCTTTCATAATGTAACAAATAAAATCATTTACGGCGACCGTCTCTGAAAACTACCAGTATATAAACACCATCACTTCTCCAAGGCAGCCACTTCCATAGAAGACGAAATTGGAACCATGGATAGTTTGCTTTAAAAAGGTTTCACGTTTTATTTAATCATTCTTTTAATTTTTATGCTTCGTTAAATAGAGAAGTCTTTATAAAACTTCGAAAATAAAGACTTTTTCCCCCCAAATGTTCTTTACAAACGAAATGATAGAAATCTAGATTTACACTGCTAGATTTGATTGTTCTAGATTTAAGAAAGAAATACTTGGATGTTGATGAATTTCCTAAATTTGGAAAACTAATTTTATGTTTCGTTATTTTCTTCAGTTTGGAACGAGAAACTTAAAACTTTATCTCGAAATTCACGGTCATATCGTAATATTCTTTGCAAATAAAACTTAACATGAAAGTAACTCGCTTTTTTAAACTGTCTCATGCAATTGACTATTTGTAATACTTGGAAATGTGATACAAAGACATGATATTTCAGTACGAAAGTTACGGTAATACTACTAGAGCAGATGGAGAAGCCAGCTTATAGACATGCCTATAACATGTCCATAACTATTGTTTTTATTAATTTTGAGGGAACGTAGGTAATTCGTATCAGTTAATCCCCGAAAGTTATCTACTTCAGTTAAAAAATATTTTTAGGAGACTTTATAAGTAAATTTAACTTTTTCTAACCAAATTTGACGCGTTACATTAGAAAAACACCTTTGTAGCACAGAATACAGCTTCCAGGTGTGGTTGTTTTTATGTTTACCTTTCTGTACAGAAGTTCAGGCAGCTCATTTATAAACAATATTCTGTGAAATGGTTTCAATATAATGCAGTATAAGAAACTACATCATATCTTTTTGTGACGCTTTTTGATGCGATATGATTTAGTAAACATTAGAAACTCTAATATATAATGCTGATGTTTCATACTACTGCTTCCTTAGAATTACAGTGCAGTTTATAAGAGATTCCTAATTCTTCCGTAACATGTAAATAAACATAAACCTTAACTAACGGTTGCTTAGTATTTATAAAAACTATAAAAAGTGGAACTATTATAGAGATGGTATACGTATAATTGACGACTAAGTATTAGCTTTTCAGTATACAAATCATTGAAAAGAGCACTGATTTCTATCTGTGCAGAATATTCTCCAGATAACAAATAGAGAAATATACTGAAAAATTTTCGCATCAGACAAAAGTTTATGTTATACATTTGCTGGTAGGGATAGTGCTTCAACACTACTGCCATCTGATTTATCATCTATACTGCCAAAAAAATTCCCTTATTTAAGACCTGTTTCTATGTGTACTAATACTATAAAAATTATTACAAATAAGATAAAATCCCAAGTAAGATAAACTTGATTTCTTTTTTATAAATCAGCAAATTCACTTATTTCAAGCATAGCTCTCTGTGTTGCTAACAAGCTACAAATATTCCTTCCTCTTTTGCCTTAAATCAAATATAAATTAAATGTTCTGGTCTGATTTTCTATATAAAACATCAGAAACACTGATGATTAGTAGTATTGGGATTGCTCGGTAAGCACCTTTCCTAGCACTTTATTGCTCGACAATATCACGGCAATGAAACACAAGAATCTGAATTTCAATGTATTACTTTCACGGGAGCATCTTATAAGAAATTGAACCATCAAAAGCCCTTTGAATCGAAAGTAATTTCCAATTAAATATACAGTGTGTTTCAGCAAATCGATTACAAACTTTCAGGAGAGATAGAATACACCTAGATGGCGGAAAATCACATAGCAATGCGGAGCCAAAAAGGTTTCCTGGCGTGGTAGTGACAACACAAAATGAACAGGGTAAGGAAACATGCTTATTATGCTAAGTTCAGCAAACATCAGGAAATAAGAACAAAAATAGACAATGATAGTCATCAAAGGAGGTGTTCGAAATTACGACCCCTGAACCTCACATCTCCAGCATATGGAAAACCGGATGTTCTGGAAAATACCGAGTATGTCTTTGATTTTTTTAGCTTTTGCCAGGATGCATGCAACAAGTTCATCAGCACTTCTAACGGGTGTTTCGTACACCATTGTCTTGACGTACTCCCAGAGGAAGTACTCAGTGCAAGTGAGGTCTGGTGATCTCAGTGGCTAATGCCACCTCCCCTGCCGATCACATGTTGATGATATGTTTCGAACACCTTCTTTGATGTCGGTTGTCCGTTTTTATTCTTATGTCTTGGTTTCCGCTGCACTGTGCATAATAAAAATATATTCTCACCTGTTCGTGTCATTCCTTTCTTGTGTTTTGAATCGTCACTACCACGCCAGGATATACACACCACCATGGACCATACTTTCCGACCATGCACTGCGATGTATTTTTCCATCGTCTAGGTGTACTCTAGCTCTCCTGAAAGCTTGCAACCGATTTGCTGCAACACCCTGTACACATTTTCGTTGGAATGAAATCTCAACTTTTGCATCCTGAAATATTCATAAACACATCTTTTCGTAATATGCAACGAAGTTACCTCAATTATGCATAGGTTACTCAAAACACTTTTCAAAATCACATGTTACTGACTTAACTGTTCATAACTCAAGATACGTTTCGTCATCCGAAGCGTTTTTCGTTCAAATAATTAATTTGTGAACAGAATTATTCGTGAAATGAGGCGTTTGTGATCTGATGCACTTGCGTGTTTAGAAGATTTTCTCTTTCATTGCTTTCAAAATGTGTTTTTAATTCTTTTTGATCAACATCTATTAAGATGTTAATCTTAAGCTGCATTTCAAGGCCATGATTTTAAACTTATGTACATACAGAGCATTTCGAATTAATTTGCTGTTTTAAAAAGTTTCTGTTTCTCGACTTTTTATTTTAATTGCATAAATTTTGTTAAATTAATGATTTCGTAAAAAAATATGTGGCTACGTTAGTAGCACAAGCGGGTATGAGATACGATATTAAATTAGTTAATTCATATGCTTAGTAATGATATATTTCATGAAACATTATAAATAACCTAGCTTATGCTATTAATGAAACTTTTATTCTGTTAAGTGAACACTGTTCGTCAATTAAAGTAATTTGCTAATATTTAGAAAAATTGTATGATATAAAATAACTTCAGAAGTAAATTATTTAACTAAATCATATAATTGATTCTTTTTTTTATCATATATTGCTATTATTACATATCGTAAACAGATGAGTATTAACTGTGGCAGTGCGTGAAGAATATCTGCATACTGGGAGAAATGCATTTGTCAAGAACTTTAAGAAAAACAAATTCGTATTTAAGTTTCTGACTGGGAAAATTTCAAAATCAATTACGAAAGTCAGCTAACTCATTCCATTTCCTGGAACAGAATACGGGACGAAATTGCGACTAGTTCAGGACTTTATGTAGTCGCCTACTATATAATTCTTATACGGCAAGAGAAATCCATTACTTTTCCGATAATATTTAAATTAAATGAAGATGAAAAAATCTTTTCAAAAAATTTCAAACCGCTATAAATGCATCTTTATACGTGCTGTAAAATGTAATTATATTATTTTTTTCAGTTTCGAGGAGCCTTTGGCATCATTCAACAATGAAGACGTTATTCTTCGAGTGCCGGATGGGAAATCGATTGATGATATTCACTGGCTGTCAGTCTGGAGTAGGATGCACGCTGTGAGTAATGAGATACATTCCGATGACATCAGAGATCACGTGACTTATGCGTAGCTAATGTAAACAAACAATGCAGATGACCTCAGAGATCACATGACTTATGTATAGCTAATGTAAACAACAAGGTCATTCTTCCTCTTCTTCTCTTGCGGAATGTACCTCATTGATCATATTTGTCTACATTGTCATTCTACATTACAATTTGACCTTCCTTCAGTTTATGACAATAAAATGCACACACATTTAATAAGTTTAAATAAATCTATTTTTCTAAAGTTTATATTTTTTCTGCTAGAACTCAGGGCAACAATGCTTGGCTTGTGTTCAACCATGTTATTATTTTCACAGCAAAGCGAGAGTTCGGTGTTTGCTTTCCGGTGTTTGCTGCGCAGCTGATCCACTCTGGTAGTAGGTCATCAGTCATTTAATCATTGTTGGCGGATTTATCTTTATCAAAATGACCTAAAGGTCAAGGTCATTAAATAAGTAACAATGTGAATTATTGACAACCTGCAAATGAAAAAATTTTAAAGGACATTAAAAAGTAATCTCTAAAATATATAATACTTTATTTAATAAGTAAATTAAATATTCGGATATCTCGAATAAAATTAAGAATTTAACTAATCCAAAAAATGAACAGGTATAATATTCATTATAATTTTATTTTGAAACTACTAATATCCCCGCCTTACGAACGTTTACATTGTGGAAATTTGTAACTAGCTGTTTTTCTATTAATCAAAGAAAGCTGAATAGCCTTTTTGCTTATTCAACGAAAGGTTAAACCCGAAAATATAGAGCAGAATTTATTTTCTACAATGATTACAAACGTCTGATTGATCATGATATGTACCATAATGGAAGGAGGGAGTTTGAGGCAATTTTTATAAGATATAATTGATACCTGCGAAGAACTGTTCAGTTGGGAAAACATATACTGCAGCCTACCATACTATTTTACTGTAAGACTTTTACACCAGCCTAATTTTAAGAGAGTTCGAGTTTCAGTATTCAAATAGGCAATTGTAAAACTTGGAGATCAGATGGTTATAAACGATGAAACACAATATCCTACACCGTACATCCTGCTCTTCTGCTATCAGATCTCTGACGGCTCAACGTACGCACGTACGATCATACTGTAATCACATTTGCAATTTCCAGTAAACTCGGTGTTTTTTTACTTTTGTGTACTGAAACTATGTGGTGCATACATTATTTCTTCATTTATGAGCTATCCATTACCTTTTAATTATTTCTTTACCTTATTTCAGATTATAAGATATGCGTGGTATGATTTTATAGGTTTCTTTTTCTTCTCAAGATTTCGGAACGCTCGAGGACTTTTTCCTATGTTAATATTAGAAGTAATTGCTTCTCTACTTTATGCCATTTCGTCTTATGAAACATTTCTTGGGAATGCTCTGCTCTCGTAAAGCAGAGCACTCTCAAGCAGAACGAAACCGTACTGAATGATTCCACTTGATTTAACTCGTAAAATTTACTTTTCACTGATTATTGTAATATACAGTCTGAAGCAAATAAACAATGTCATTTGAGACGTGGTTCTTGATGCTTGTGCGAAGACACCTTTGAATGTGTTGCGCAGAACTCTACAATATTTTTACTAATTTAACATATGAGACAGCGAAGTCGTACGCGATGATCTCAGAAGGAATCATATCAAACGCATTAAACGACCATAACACATGTATATTTATTTGTATACGAAGTTATGCACACACACCCTCCGACTAATGCTATTTATTGGGCTTAAAGAAGTGCTGAGTTTAATATTCTGATAATTTTGAAAGTAAGCTGGAAATAAATAATACGCCAATCGCTAGTTATAAACAGCAATAAAAAATAATAAAGAGTTAATGCAGATATCGCTTACACTAAATACTGCAGTTTTCATTGATATCCCTGCTATTTTGCCCTATTCTTCGTGAAATATTTTAAAGAAAAAAGGGAAGAAATATCCTAGCTGTAGATGACATCTAAAACAGTCCCAATTATTAATTCTATAAATGTTTTTTAACTGTACAAAAACCCAATGCTAATATAAATTTTAAAGTTTGCAGTATTAAATGGAATCGTTGCAAATGAGGAGAATGTCGCAGTTCGCTGTTTCATGTCCCTCATTTCCATTTTCTGCGAATGATCTCGTTTGTATTTTTATTATAAAGCAAAAATATGTATAAGCTGAATGAATGACCTTTCATCATTTTATTGCAGACAAGTTTTGGTTCAATAATATTCCCCAGAAATCTTATTCTTCCTCGACCCTTTGTGATTGGTTCACTAAAGAATACGAAAAATGGAGTTTCATCTGGAGATATTTTAATTTTGGATACTCAGACATTTTTAATACCTGACTTCAGCTATGATGGCAACAAGAACGGTAACTTTGTCTCTTTTTCATTTTATTAATTTTTATTGACCTTTAGGTGTCCTTTTACCAATGTTGATGATTATGTCGATGATAGAAATTTTTCGTATCAACTGCTGATTTTTTAACGCAGTAATTATGTTACAGCATTGCGCTATATGCAGTCTTTAATTATGTTTTACTTTTGTTAGAGCTCAATAAAAAAAATTTGGTTTTATTAGATTAATGATTTGGTTCTGAGAAGGGGATGTAAAGTAAATACAGATCCGTCCTTCATACATGAAAAGTTAACTTATATATTTTTTTCTAAATTCAAATAATCAAGTTTTAATAATGCAAATTGTGATTCAGTCGATTATTGTATGAGGTATTCCATTCCAACTATCAAATATAATTAAAATTTAATTCAAGTATCTGCTATGATTTATGTGTCATAAATTACGCTAGATTTTTATCGAATCTGGTTGAATTTTTGTGCCAATTTACAATAAATAAATAAAATAATAAATAAATAAATAATGATTTTAGAATGTAAAAAACTATACACAAATATTTACAAATATGAATAATATATGTGAACGTATACATGCAGTGTTTAGTTTAGTATTAGAAGAAAGTATGATTATAATCGTACTATTATAATCGCACTATGTCGCATCATTGGTAGTCAGTCTACATGGTTTTTCCGGGAAGTAATAGGACTGATTTTTTCCCGTCAAAACATGGTGAAGGAGAGAGGCAGATGTTACTGCGCTGGTTGGGTTGGGTTAGGTCTTAACTACCAGTGCACCAGTCGCCAGTCGTCTCTAAGCCTTTACGGAGTGTAGATCGAGTTTAAGGTGAACCCCTATCGACATGCCTTGTCATCTCCACAATGAATCGTTCCTTAGAGCAGCGTTACGCGATGAAGTTTTGCGTCAAACTGGGTAAAACTGCTAGTGAGACCCATGACATGACAAAGACCGCTTTTGATGCCATGGTCGATCAAGTGTTTTTGAGTGGCACAAACTGTTTCGGGAGGAAAGGCAGTACGTTGAAGATGAAATTAATGTTGATCTTCTTTTTTGATTGCAAAGGAGTGGTTTATAGAGAGTTTGTACCTCTCGGTCAGATTTAAATGCTGCATTTTACGTGGAAGTACTTGAAAGACTGAGAAAACGAGAGTCACCCGCGTCCATTCAGCAATTGCTGGTTCATGGAGGCTCCATCACGGCAATGCGCCGAGCCACACCGCCTACAGCTTCCCCAGCCACCCTACAGCCTAGAAGTCACTCCTTCAGACTTCTTCCTCTTCCTCCGACGGAAAAGGTTCATAAAAGGAGGCACCACAGCGGCCACACGCTAGTTTTACCAAGAAAACAGCCTAGAAGTCACTCCTTCGACTTTTGGAGGCTCAAAAGGTTCGATAAAAGCCGAGCCCCCGCTCTTACACTCCGGGGGGGGGGGGGGGGGGGGGGGGGGGGGGGGGGGGGGGGGGGGGGGGGGGGGGGGGGGGGGGGGGGGGGGGGGGGGGGGGGGGGGGGGGGGGGGTGGGGGGGGTGGGGGGGGGGGGGGGGGGGGGGGGGGGGGTGGGGGGGGGGGGGGTGGGGGGGGGGGGGGGGGGGGGGGGGGGGGGGGGGGGTCGGGGGGGGGCGGGGATTCAAGAGGCTTGGATGGGTTGGGGGGGGGGGGTGTGGGGGTGGGGGGGGGTTGGGCTAAGTCCTAGAAAAGAGCATTTCCTCTTCTCCTCGCAAGCAGCTTTTCGCGTAACGAGGGCGGAGTCACTTGAACTCTGTGGTTGAAATGATGCAGAAGGCGGCATTTGAAAACTATATTCGTGTGATTGTGAATAGTTTTTTTTTTTTTTTTTTTTTTTTATTCAGTCCTATATTCCCAGAACCCCTGAATATACTAGAAAGTAAGAAAGCTGTTGTATTAGAATTCCACAGAAAATAGCGTTTGTTGGAAAAATTTTGGCTAACAGAAGCACTTCACGAAAGATATTTTAAAGCTTCTAGGAATTAGTGAGGGAAACACGGAACTAATGCAATGTTTGGTTCGTAGTTGGGATACGTGAGCGTAGCTGCATCTTTAGTTGAATCAATTACTGCAAACGTTTGACTGATTTTGTAAGGTAAATAATTTTATGATTCGCAGGTTGAGACTACTGTGATCGTTTTGTTGTTTAACATTCTACTATTATGCTAATATTTGAATGTTTTACTATTGCAACTCATTAACTGAATCATACAGTTCTTTATCTGTTTATATTAACTCATAGATTGTCCTGTTGCATCATTGTTCTAGGAGATGTTAATTTTAATATATTTTCTCTGCAATATACAAAGCTATATTGTGGTTATATTGTTAGCATATTAATTTAAAAATAGGTCCAAAAAGACGAAATAAATTAAAAGTGTTTAATTTTTATTTTATTTGCTACTCATTATTATTTCAAGTAACGATATTGCGAAGTAAAGTTTGTTATTTTTGCATGATAGAATTTCTGATGGAAATATCTCTAAAAGAAATTAAAATTCTGTAAAAAACACTATTAATTAGATAATATCATTTAATTTGAGCAGATACAACGATACTATAATGAAAAAGGTATAAAATATTTAGTTCAGGTCTCCTCTTCTCTTTCTAACATGCTATGAGATATACTAAAAATAATATGAAAATTTGAATACGCACATGGCTATAATTTGTTATAATGCAATTTATTTGAAGAATGATTTACCGTGTCATTTATATGAAAAACGGTGTATCTAAATCCAATTATATGTCCAAAGGAGATAGGCATTAATTTTGTATTTAAAATATCTTTAGATTGGTAAAACTCAAGAGATTTGGATCTCTCGATTTTGCCCAAATTTGTAATCAAAATGTAATTCGCATTTTGAAGACATGTTAAAATATGAGAGCGAAATGTGATGCTTAATAAATTTGTATAATAAAAAGTGTTTTATAAGATAAAGGTATCATATGGTTCATAATGAGTAGAGTGACAAATGCTGTTTGGTTATCGTTGTTCTAGGGAATGATATGGAAATAAGTTGCAATGGAGTTATTTGTGAGTTAAAAGGAATATAAGAAAAGAATTCCAATAGATAAGGAATAGCTTGAATGCTTCATACCATCATGCTGTAGTTATGCTTGCTAGCAACTACGTCATTTGTCATAATAAATTACCAATTACTTTCCTATCCATTTATCTGATTTTGCGAGTGGATTTTATAGCAAACGGTACTAAGTTTTAGACGCCAAGCGTTATTTCGTGTATATTTCTTTATCATATGAGTCCATTTAACATTAAGGTAGGAGATATGTTATGTAATATATGAACAATGCCGCATTCGTCGATAATCTGTTTAATAGGCTTAGATTCCTATCGCTAGACAATTATGATTGTCAACTTGGCAAAATGGAGAACTATTGAGAAATTGATGGTTAAAGAAAGAGGGCTACAAGATTCTCGTATTTTAATCTCAGGATGTTCTGGATTAAAACTGTGATGTAGCTTTTGAGAAAGTGCATTATCACTAGCATGACCAACGACAAGCGTACTTCTCAATTGACCCCTACTTTCATAAAGCCGTGCATCGCCTGGACTCGAAAGCGACAATAACAGCATAAAAGACAGTATTATAAATATATTACATATAAATCTAGTATCCAACGTTTTGGTTAGCTTTATATTGTGAAAAAGCGTTTGAATTGATTTATGTAACAACGCTTAAGTTCCTCCGCAAGTTGTCGGTGTTATTGTAAAGCACGAAGTATGTGACTTTCTGTTCATAGTTGAAAATAATAAAGGGTAATTTTCGCCTTCTTCTGGGCTGTTATTATTTTACTCCTGTTCGAGAAGAGGCTAGGTTCATTAATAGGATCTAGTTGAGTTTATGTGGTCAAAGAGAGTTAGATCCTATAATATTTCTTGTCAACTTTCTGCAAGAAGCACAGTGATTAGAATTACGATGGGATAAATTTGTTGTTAAGAAAAAAATGTTAACTATGTGGCCTTCATTAACGAGTGTGTTCATTTTATTCTTTGTTAGTCATAAGAACAACAAAAATTCTGTTTAGTTCATTGAATACAGTGTAAGAGAATAAATAAGCTCGTTTCTATAAATTTCAATAAATAAATAAATAAAAAATTGCATACAAAGTCGAAAAATTGGAAAGTGTATAGTCAAAAAATAAGGAACGCATTCCTAATGTAGGGGCGCTGCCACAGTGGTAGGTATAAAAACGGTCTTTTTTCTTTGTTCCGCCGTTATTTCATTCGTACATCGATTATAAACATAACATTGCCCTAGAAAGCAGCAACCAACATTTAGATGACGAGTTCAGGAGAAATGTTGATAAGATTTCAGGCACGCAATCTCAAGTTCAGGGTGCAATACAGCTCCGTGTAATACCAAATGCAATTTTCTGGAGACGCGCTTCATATTTTGGTTCGGTCAAAAACTGTCAACGGCTGTAGTCTCCAATAAATGCTAGTATCTAACATTTCTAGCCATATGCCAAAGGACTGCTGCACAGTTCTCTCGTATAAACTAAACTGTAATTTTATCAGTTACTATTTCCCAGTGGTTTCTTGACAAAAACTGCTTTGTCTCACCCACTCACTCACTCAGCATGACACAGCGCGTGTCTGGCATTTTAAGAGAGTATCAGTCCTGCGCAGTGGACCCAAGGTCTCTTTAATAGAAAACTGAATCATTTAGAAATCTGCTCTAATAACATAAATAATTAACTGAATATTATTTGAAAATGGTTATTTTTTATTTGAAATGATTGATGCCAAGATCCTTGACTATGAATTTTTATTTCCTAGGAGTATTTTGGTGGTTATCCAGAGGCATGCAGCCAAACCTTGGAGGTCTTCGGCTTTTTGAGGAGAATTCCAGGTTCTGAATTATATATTTTTCTTTAAGGAATCTCTTAAATTTAAGCAAGTCCTACGTGTTAATGGTTCAAGATGAATCATATATCATGTTTTTCTTTCTGTATAAATGCCAGACTAAGTTTTATTTTCTTTCAAATTTAGAGATGGTCCCTTACAACAGCACAATAATCAGATAGTTGTCGTCACTTTACCAGATGGTCATTCAGTCTTGGACTACGATCTTTTGAGTGTCTTTAATACCATTGATGCGGACGACTATGGTTCTATCCAGATACCAAAAGATATAAGAGTACCACCTTCACCAAGAGTACTTGGTCTTATACCAAGAAATAACAAAGTAAATGTTGCTTTTGATTTATGTGCGAATTAATAATCAACAGCACTAATGATTCTGTGACTAAATAAGAATTTTATATTATACATCTTACAAGATATTTCCTTATAAAACAAGATTATTCTTCAATATAACAACGAAAAAATCTAAAATAGTGCGCAAAAGTAAATCATAATTTGATAAAGTAATGAAATGTAAATGATATATTTAATACATTCTTTAAAAATTTAGATTAATATCGTTTTATATTTCTTCACAGAAAAAATTCAACTGTGAAATGCTGAATGATAATCTAGGTCTGGAAGTTCGTTGGCTCATCGATGGTGAAGACATCATTCTGCATCTCGTCGGCAAAATTAGTAAGTAAAGAACATTCAATTAAGTCGAACCTTTCTACCATTCTCCTCAAATAAGTTTTATGCTAGGATATAAAGAATAAATTGATATATTTAATATATTATCCTTCACAGGAGACAAACTTATATATTTTAAAGTATCTATTGCCATTTAAGACAATTTATTTCCCACATTCAGTATGTTTTAACTCATACTCAAGAGCTCGTCAAGAGGCATATAAATTAAGTTTCAAGATCATAAAGGTAAACTATTCAGTTAATAACGAAAACTTGAAAGGTCTAGTTTAGGCGTTTAGCTCTTAGTTTTCTTCCAGATAGCATTGCCAAAAAAGAACTTATGTGATATGTACAAGGATGATGCATTATACTTAAAATATTAATCTAAATAACTTAATGCTTTAAGACACAATAACACGCCGAATAAATACCAATTCAGAAGTCAAACAACAAAAATCAGCGTTATATTTACAAAATTTTCACAGGACTAGTTTCGATGGTTTTACCGAACCACCATCTTCAGCTGCAAAACCGCAAATGAATTGATTCATTTGCGGTTTTGCAGCTGAAGATGGTGGTTCGGTAAAACCATCGAAACTAGTCCTGTGAAAATTTTGTAAATATAACGCTGATTTTTGTTGTTTGACTTCTGAATTGGAACTTAATGCTTTGTTAACATCTGTTTCAACAGATTTTTGCTTATCACATTGACGTGAAAAAAACTAAGGATAAAGCAGAGAAATAAGCGTGATAGCGCCATGAACGGACAAACTGTCTGAAAAACTGATTAAGAGATCGTCTAGTGTCCTATATTGTATAACATATATATATTCAAAGCACTGATATATTGCGGACGTATGAAAAAGATACAAAAAAACGAAAGCGAAACTCTTAGGATTTCAGTATCAGTTATTCCACTGTGCACATGGATTTGAGCGACCTCGACTAGCTGTCGTAATGTGATATGTCCTTGATAATGGACAACTGATCTGAACAACTTTACTCTGAGTCAAATTATTGGAAACTTAGAAGAGGGTTGAAGTGTGGCTGGGAATTTCGTATTCACGTAGAGCGTCGTGTCACCAGCTTGAAAGGCATTTCGAAAGACAAGATTCACTGACTGAAGTAGTGTAGTAGTTTAGTGGTTTAGTAGTTGTTACCCACAAGCAATCACGACGAACGCAGTACAAGCATCTTATCCTTCAGGCGACGAGAAATCAACAGCAGACGCCGGTTTAAGTTGCCAAACACATACAACGCACCAATACAGCGTTTTATGATAGCCAAGAGATTGCACATAGGTGATTTACACTGTCAGCAAAAAAATACGTTATATGTTACTGGATTACAAGAGGCATTTTCTACGTGCTACGAACATAAGGACCGTAGATTTCAGCATTGGTGTCGAGTGCTTTTTATTGATGAAAGCCGATTTAATTTTACTAATGATTCTGACGCCTAAATGTCTAGAGAGAGGGTGGGTCTTTCAACGGGGTGTCACATCACACCACCTCATTGAAAGGAAACAGTTTGGAAATGATGGAGTCCTCGTTTAGAAATTCTTGATGGGCAATATTGAGTTAAAAATATTCCAATAAAATTCAGTTATTGGTGATGGCTATTATGCAGAGATTCTCCTTCCTCATGTGCGTCTTTACACAGGTGCTTTTGCACTATGAGTTCCTCTTCTTGAATGTCAATGCTACATCTCATCGTACAGTATCTGTCCTGTTCTGTCACAGAGTGAAAATTTAGGTTTCGAGAAGAGGCCCGCATGGTTTTAGGATTTAATACAATCGAGGAACGTTTTCGGAAGATCGTTGGCAGGATGTTGTCAGACTTAAGTAATGATTCAGCGCCTACGATTGACGCTACGAAAGGCATGAACTGTTAGTTCTCAAGAGCTCGTCAATGATTTCGTATTGAGGGTAGACAGATGATACACATCCTTCATCGTACTCAAAGCTTTAGATCATGTCTTTTCAAACTCTTGTCTTAATACATAAGCTAGAGATTTCATGTTACCTGCCGACTGACATGTGAATTTTCTATGCCGTGTTCTGTCGCGTTTGAAACCCTTTTTAAAAAGTGTTTCTTTACTGTTTAGATTCTTCTGTTATTCAGAATAGTTCTTTTACCTTGTAATCCTTAAGTTGGGAAATGTTATGATTGTAACAATCTAGAACACTGCTGCAACACGTTGCATTTGAAAAACCTGCCATGTCCTTACATTTTGCATACAGTGCATGTACGTAAAGATTTCCCAACGTAACAATCCATAGTAAAATACTTATAATAAAATTTCTGGAGGGTTACTCTAATTTTTCATGTATTTCGTTTTAGCAAATATATAATTGTCCATTATTTTCACAGGGGAATTTGAATACATGGCTCTAGGTTTGAGTAAAGATGATACGGAAACTCGATTTGATTCTGCCGATGCTGTAGTTGCTTGGCTTGGTTCTGATGGCAAGGGTCATGCCGTCGATTATTTTCTAGAAAATACTGAAAAGGTGAAGGTTATTTTTATACATTTTTTTGAACATTTTTACAGGAAATGAGAATCAGAAAATTTTACTACTCATTTAATTTTCTTTTTTAGTGCGAAAATGGACACGGTATGTGCCCTGACGTTGTTCATCAAGGTTCAAGAGATAATTTGGAATTATTAGAAGCTGTGGAAATTGGTGATACAAAAATAGTTACTTTGAAACGTCCTCTGAAAGCAGGTACTTACGAATCATTCTTTTCTGTTGTACTAATAGCTAATACTTAAAACGAATAAATTGTGTTTTCTTTCACATTAATGAGTTCTAATGAAACTCTTATCCGAGAATGGATACCTGAGAAAATATTCGTTTGCAGTTTATGTGTGTAACATTTGATGAATTATTAAGGCAGGACTAACAATTGAAACTTCACTTCTTCTTAAAAGGATTGGATTAACGATTGAAAAAGTTGTTCAATTAAAAAGCATTAAATAAATTTGGAATTCAAAAACATTTCATATCGCAGCTCAAACTGCAACTGAAAAGACTTACTAAAATAATAATGCAATAAACAATATAAATTATAATATAACTTAATGCATTAAGCATTTTTATATTTTTGAAATAACTGTTTACTAATGTACGTATAACACAGAAAGCTTTATCTGCGTTATTGCCAAAGATATTTTTTTATTCTCTAATACACAAAATCGCATAGATTGGCCTTTAAATTTTTGAACGGCAGAATATTTTAACTTCTTATTGCTTCTTTAAAGTGTTTTATACTTCTTTTTATTGGAAAATGTTAGAAAACTCCTATTTTCAGTTAATATGTAAAAAGTAATTGATTTTCTAAAGTAATAGATATTTCAATGCTATTATTTCCTACTTATTGACTCATTGTAAATCATAAATCTATATCAGGCTAAGGCTTGATTTATAGCAAAGCACTAAATATTATATAATTGAATTGCTCTGTTGCTTGGAATTGTACTGCTAATAAAATTATTAGTTTTTCATGGCTTAAAACACTGGACTGACAGTGAATATAGTTTAGTGTTAAAATAACCTTTTATATACTTTACTCATACAAATAAAAGCTATCATGTGTTTTACAGAAATACGTTTTGTAAAGAAATTGCGATAATAAAATAGAGTTAAGAAAATCTGTTTGAAATCAGATACAATCTTTCGGTATTAAATTTTCTTTTCCTTAATTATTAAGCTAAATTAACTAAGATTACTAAGAATAATTGAATATCTTTCAGAATAAATTTATATGAAAATATATCAGACTAATTAATAATTTTCATACATATAGATAACTGTATCGTAGAATTATGCAGTGCACATTAGAAAATTTAGAATTAGCTTTCAGCTTGTGTGTTTTAATTCATATGAAAGGATTTTAGCCTTCTACGCTTTGCCTCACCTTCTTTGTTCTTGTTTACTTTTTATGATGTCTGTTTAAAACTGTAAAAGGGTTAAGCATTTATCAGAGCTGCAAATAAGTAATATCTACAGTGACCTCGCCGGAATTCGAACTTCTGACCTCCCGACTACGATCATCTGGATATGCTTCCGGTTACACCACCCAGATACGCAATAAGGAAAGAGAAAAAATTCTTTACATTCTCTCTTAGTTAAAGGACGATGAAAAGACAGAGACCCAGCTGGCCAAATCCAGGCGGTGACGAATTATTGTCCACTAAAGTTTAGTTTTATCTCCTTCATAGAATCATCTAGAATTTTTTTAAACTGAGAATCGTGAAAAATCAGCGATGTCCTCGCCGCGGTTCGAACTCCGGACATGCTTCCAATTATACTACAAAGGCGAGAGTAAGGAAGGAGAAAAATGCTTTACAGAATCAATCCTTAGGTATAAATATCACAGATAATTTTGCAACTATTGAGTTTCAAAATAGATTAATTGACAAGTAATTCGAACTACAATGACAATGTTAAGAGGTACATAAATCCCAAAGTAAATCCTCGTTTGAATCTTATGTGCATAAATGTTCTTAACTAAAGAATTGTTTGCGCTATCTTTTGACAGCAGTGCGATTAAGAACCACATGCTTACCTATTTTTGCTTATTGCTAGCTATTTTGCTAAAATTCATTGTTCACTGTTAGTATACAATGAATTTTGATAAGTAGAATGAATTCTCTGATTCGGTAGCTGGGAGGTGCGTTTGTGTAATCTTTCATGCTATTGTAAAAATTATTGTTAAAACGTAAACATAGATGATTCCTCAACACCTCAATATTATTATATTTACCAGCACATTACGTATTGAAAAAAATCAAATTAAAACAGTAATAATGTCTTCTTATGTACGATGCTTCTTATTATGAATGTGTTTGGGGCTTACAAAAGACTGATGAAGGGAACAAGTGTATCCTCAAATTAAAATCAGTGCGATAAAAAAAAACGTAGTCTTTGGGTTATATATAAAACTTAATTTTGTTACAAAGAACATAACTGAATCAAAATTCATAGTAAAGATAATTTTGTAATACAATTGCATTTCAGAATAAAATAATAATCGGTGAAAACGCAGATACATTTCACTACAAAGCATATCCATAATTCAGTTTTGTAAGCTTCATAATAGCCTTCGTGAAGTAAGGTAAAGATTTAATTTCAAAACAAACAAATAAATAAAGGAATTATGAGTAAAATAAAATCTTAACATCAGAATACAGGAAAGAAAACAACTAGAAATTTCACAACGAAAGTAAAGTAAATTGCGAAATATATAAAAGCATAAGTCATCTCAAGAATATAAAATTTTACGATTGAAAAAAAAAAAAAATGAAACATTATCTGGAATTATAAGAAGGGTAAAGATAGTAATTTCTGTGTTTAAAAGAAACAATTATTTCAAGTTCTATCCTGAGTGCTATCTGTAATAACTAACCGTAGATAGATTAAAATATTAATTCATAGTAGATCCATGTTCTGTTAATAAAATAAAAGTAAACATAAAAAAAACTAATCAAATCTACAAAAATTAATATGGTCTTAGAGCTGAGGCACCATCTGTTTCTGTGAACATTTTGAAGTGACTGAATGCCATTAATATACTTTAGTTATTATTAATATAAAAAATTACCAACATATCTCAAGAAACAAAATTCTGCATTTTAATCAAATAATGCAATGTGCAATAACTTCCTGTCTTCTAAATCTATAACGAAGAAAGTAGTTTTAGGTAACACTCGTTAAATTAAAATCAAAAGCAGCATCTGGAAATTGTTATACATTTATATCGAAAGTAAACCATTTGAAAACCCACGTCAGTAGAAAGGAAGGGTGAACCGGTTTGAAAGACACTGACTTCGGAATAAAAAGATATAGTAGGCTGACCATACCATAATTACGTCACACAAAAACAGAACTAGAACATTATTAATAGCGTAAAATTAAAAACAAAATTGTTTTATTACACGAAACTATTGATATTAAAATCATTTTACACTGCATATGAACTGCATACATTTGTGTTCACACCAGATGGAACGCATAAGAAAAATTAACGCAGCGCTACTGTACACCAGAATTTCACCATTGGTCGTATAATTCCGCCTCAATTTTGAAGGCGAATACCCATGGGGGCGGTCCGAAGTCTACCACCTACCTTCCTCTCGAGAGCTCTTAGCTCGCCATGTATTTTGAGTGCTTCCTTGCCGCATAGACCCTATACCCTAGTAAACACCCATATTTTATTCCGGTTTCAAATCCTAGCCCATCGCTATGGGAATCACTGTCAATAACCACTATACCGGCTGAATGTCTAGCTCTGTGCTACAGCGCCACTAATAGCCGAGTAGCTAAAACCGCTGCATACTGGTAGTTCGGCAAGCGTAGGCGAACAGGCTGGTTGCATGGCTGGTTTTCCTTATTAATGTGAATATGAGTCAGTTTCACTCGTAAAACGCTCCACAAATACATCCCTCTTCTTAGGCACATAGTTTTAATGGCTTTGCCGTGTTCAAATAACCAAACTAACCAGAGTTACAGATGCTAAGTCTAAGATGGGTAAGTGTTGTGAAACATGGAGTTTTCCTTTTCTTATCGATTTCGGGTAATCCTCCTCCACAGGAATGACTGGTACCATTAAAAGAAACTTGTTTTGTGATGGTAAATCGGTATTTAAGCATAGTACAATATTTAAGAAACGGCACGAAGCTGAAGCTTTTACTAAAACGGTGGCTTTGTTTTATATGTTATGACATAGGGACCTCTAAAACCTTGAAGGCTATCTGCTTAAAGGAAAGGATGCCTTCCTGGAGGATTTTCTAAGGGAAACTGGCTCGTACGCACGTTACACAAGGGGAAAACCACGAACACGCCCATGCAACCTACCCATTCGCGGGATTCGACCTCGGACCGAACTACCAGTGTTCCAGCGACTTTATCGCTTGGCCGCTGTTGAGCCCTTACTAAAACGTGGGGACACGACAGTAATGCAGGATTTCCCAGTTCAAGATTGAAAATATAAACAGCCTAAGATGCCCATAATTCGATACAAAATTTTGTTTCATTAATCAAATATCGGAGAACTGAAAATTCCATGTTAATGCATTACCGTCCATTAATATGTGCAAAGCAATCCTTTTGCTCAGTAAGTATCATACGGTAATGAATATAATTTTAAATATCATTATCTTTTCTAGACGACCAAACATATGATCAGACTATCTACACTGATGGACCGCAAGCTATTTTGTGGGCGGTAGGCCCTCTTATGGAAAATGGACTAACTGGACCACCGCAGCTGCGATCAAGAGGTAATATCTTTGACGCATTATTTAATAATCATTAAGTAATCATTCCAATTTACGTAGCAATCGTTTTCATTACAGTTTATTCGATATAAATACATTTCTATGCAGGAAACCTGCTTCTAGACTTTGGCCGGGCTCCGAATTGGAATTGTCCTCCTCCGGAAGTTGAAATTGCCTCCTCAGCTGAAAATAAAAGAAAGGTTTCTGAAATACATTGCCCAAGTGATCGGTTATTCCGAGCTCAGTTGGGTCCTTCTTCACGTAAGTTGCTATCTGTAAAACTTCAGTTATTGATGAATACATTTTCTAGAATTCCAGATAAAACTTCTGATATAATTCAGATAAAAATTTCAAATATAATCCTTGATAAATAATAACAAATACCTATCGCTAGACATTAAAATTATAATACCATAACGTAAGTACACAGCATACCTGAGATTTGCGTGAAAAGTAGATCATGTTAAGATATCTAGATTATAAACATTTTACACGCAATTACAAGTATGCGCACATTACAGGCAGAGTAACAGTGCCTCGAAGCAGTATGAAAAAACAAACTGAAATGGCGATTTTTCATTCGTAAATCGCGTTTACTAGTTGCTTTTGTGTTCAAAGCTGTGTTATGTCTTTTGTAAGAAACCAGTAAGTCCAGTAAGACCAGTAAGAAAGAAACCAGTAAGACTTCTACCAGTAAGTCCCAAAATTCGATAAGTGCCTCTTAGAGTTGCTGCAGATTATCATATAATTACTGTTCACGTTGTTCGAGATCCAATGACTGTTGTGAAAAATTTGCAGTTAATAGGTTTAGGAGGGCCACAAGGAGCACATGTGATGTCTCGACAGCGCCCATTCACCAGTGTCTGAAACTTAGATTTTCTGAGATTACAGATTTGTCGACTAATTAGGGACCGTACAGCTACATTACGTTCTCTGTTAATGAAATAGGGTGTCTTGCACAATATTAAGTATTCGCACGCGTATATGATGCGATGATATTTTTAATATCATGGATTGTCAGCAAGGCGACGATTGTTTGGGCTTCTCTTGATGCTTCCTGAATAGAATCGGCGCCTAAAATGCAGCACAAGTGAATGCTTTTGCTTTCAGGAACCATGATGAACGTATTTGTGTGTAAAGACATCAAAGAGAACAACTGGATTGATGATATGAGGTGCTATTTGGTATGTTTCTCAATCATCTGCAGTCCATATATCCGGTATTCTCACCAGCCACTGTTACATTATTAAGGTTTTAATATCCGTGGCTGTGCCATATCTTCTGTGCCTCCGACGCCCCATCACACGTTGGACCACATGTTGCCAACTTTGTCATATGTTTCTTCAATACACAAGGTATTCGACCCCTGCCTTGACCGAGATGTTTTCCAGATCTCTCACCTAATGAAAATGTCTAGTGAATTGTTGCGGACAGCACCACCTAACCAATTCAACAGATGAACTTCGGCGTAGATAAGAAGACTGGATTTAAATATCTCAGCTACCGTCAAAAATCTCTTCGACTTCATTGCTCAGTCTTATAACAGCTTCTATGTTTGGCACAAGCGGATGCTCGGAAATCCGCTTGTGCCAAACATAGATTCTGATTTAGATATAGATTCTGATAGATACTGATTCTGATTTCTGCTCTTTTTTTTTTTTTTTTTTTATCTCAAAGCTCCCTGAAATTTTCATCCTGAAAATTTCACCCTTTCTTTATAATGTATTAGTAAAATAAATATAGTTTGCCATCTGTTTCTTTCATGGTATTGCATTTTTGATGGCCAACAATGTATATATTTTATTGATGTCTGTAGGTATAATGTGCACGAGTCCTTTCATTTATCTGTAGATACCCCCCCCCCCCGCTCAGTGAGATAGAGGCTAGTTAATCTGACTACCTTGCCGAACAGTCCGGTTTCCAATCCCGGAGAAAGCATGGATTTTGTATGGGTATAATAATTTTGTAGCTGGAGAGTAGTCTAAATATATGGCGAGACGGAAGTCCTTTCGTGTGGTTTGGTAGTAGGGGAAGAGGGCTGAGAGACCCTCAGAACACCCTCCGGGGTGCTAAAATTTGGGTGGAACTGGGCAAAATCGTACTGTCCAACCTACAAGGTGTCCAAAGCTCTTGCTAGTTACAGATGAAAACGCTTTTACGCCTTGCTATGATAACTTCCGTAAGCTTGTTCGGGTTAGGTCACAGAAGTGACATTAGTCACTGACACACATCTGTGAATACAAAAAAAAAAAAAAAAAAAAAAAAAAACTTCTTAAATTTTTTTTGCTTAATTTGTAACATAATATCTTTAATAAGTTGCTGATTAGTATTAAGAGAAAAGATGAGTTTGCTTTAAAATCGTGTTTAGAAGTTAGAAGAAGTGAATACTTTTTCTTTATTTTTTCTTTATTTTCAGGAAGTTTTAGATTTGACTGTTAGCATTAAAAAAAAAAAAAAAATTCTCGATGATGCTTGGTTCTCATTGGCGAAATTGAAATATCTAGAACTGGTATCACATACATTAAAAGATATATCCTTGCTGAATATATTCTCGACACTCATCAAACATTTTGCCATGAGTTAAAATCAAATATTTTTTAAATAACTTCTAAAAAATATCATAAATCAGATAAGACTGTATCTTGAAATAATATTCAACCACAAGATTAAAATGTGCTGTTTCGAATTAAAATTTCTGAGAAAAAAAAAAAAAAAAAAGGGAAAGAAAGAAAAGCCAGTACTCCTTCCTATATTGCAGCTTTTGTTTTATAACTAATGTAAATGACGTTGACACAGTTTGAAAATTTGCAGCGGCCTATGACAGTGTATAAAACCGCGCTGACACGCTTTATATTGTGTTATTCGACAAGGATTTGCGTAATTAAATTTTGGAATTGAGGACAAAAATTAAAATGTATAAATATTAGAAAGATACTAAAAACTGCAAAAATATATATCACAAAAATTTTGTATATCAGAAATATATCCAGTTATTTTTCATGCTTAGGTGGGTATTAGATTATCGCACATAATTATTTCCCAGTGATGAAAAAAGATATTTTTAGTCTTAAGTATAATGACAAATTCTGCCAGTGAAAAATAGAATGTCGTAAAAACTTTAAGGATTCATTTAAGCTACTAATTTTTGAAAATTTTTTGATAGATGAAGTTTTGAAAACTAAAAAAATTTGCTAATGCATTTAAAGATCATCAAACGGAACAATAAATTATTCCTTAAAGCACAGAATTTGGTAGTTTTAAATGAAACTAGAAGTATTCCATAACAACTAATGAACAGTAAATGAACAGCACTTTTCGTAAAAAGAATCGAAGTTATTCTTACTAGTTCATTCAGCTTCCGAAACTCTAGTTCCTCTATTGTTTAGTCTGCTTTTAGTTCTCAAATAACAGTTTGGCATCGGAAAATGTTTTTTACAGTAGAAAAATTCTGTTCTTTATGGATAGATCTTGCAACTAATAAATGCATATCAAGATCTCTGAAGAAACTTTAATATACTTAGACATGTAATCTATGTTATTAATTTTTCAATACAGAAAATAAAACACTCAATATGTGTACTTTTAAACTTTTTAGAATTTCCAATATTCCAACTAAAAAGTTATGATTTAAAAGTAGACTGACTTTTAGAGCATATTAATTTAGTCCGTTAAGAGAACTTTTAAAATATATAACTCATACTTACAAAACATTAAATTCTGAAACTAGAATTTCAATAAAGCTTATGTATTTTGATTTAATATGCGAGCAGAGTGTGAAATTTTTTTCCTTTAATAATTAAAATTTTAAAGAGAAGTCACTTATTTCTAGTAAATTCTGCTGTATACCAAATTATTGTCATAGCGTATGGTTTTCTTGATATTCATAGACATTAGATATCATTATTTTTATTGTTTTGTTATTAGCAACAAATAAACTTGTTAATAAATGTATTATACAGGAGTGATTTTTTTTTTTTTTTACATATGCCATTTTTCTAAGCAGGAAGCGGAGTAAAGAAAGAATGGTTTATAAACGGATTACCAACACCAGAACTGACAATCCAAAGAGGAAACACATACACATTCGTTGTTGAAGGCGGAAAAAATCCGTTATATATCACCAGCAGCAATGAAGGAGGTCTATATCAAGATATTCTGCAGGTAAAATTACGCAAAAATGTACTGTATTTCCACTTTATACAAATTTTCCCTTAAAATTTAATTTAGGTACTGTGAAGCAATTCTCAAAATTATTTTGGCTCACGAGCGGCCCAGCGATAAGGTAGCTAAACACTGGTAGTTTGATCGGTGCCCGGAATCGTGCCGAGCGCGCTGGCTGCCTGGGCATTTTCGTCGTTTTCCGTATTTTTAATGTGTTATATGAGCCAATTTCTCTTAGAACGCCCTCCACGAAGGCATCCCCCACCTAGGCAAATAGCCGTTGTGTGCTTTGTCATAATTAAATAAAATCAAAAATAAAATATATTGCCTTTTTTGTATAACATTCTGAAAATCACTATCAACAGCATAGGGTTCGTTTTCTTATTACAGCAATTTGTTTTGGAACTGAATTTCATTTTTAACAAGCCAGCATTTAAAAATTCGATCTTGCATTATTGACTGAAGAACAAATTTTACAAAATTCTTAACAAGAGAATAATTGTGAAAATTCCTTTCACGTATTATTTATTATCCTGAGTTTTGTAAAACTAATACGGCATAGAGACGAATTTCTGCTTAATTTGATGCAAGATAAACTCCAATTTATTATGTACTTCATATATCTAAATACTGATGCTTTTAAAATCCAATTCTATAAACAGTAACGAATGATTTTTAAATTAATAGGTTGCTAATCCTAACTTATCTCATGTGAAATTTTATTTAATAATCTATCTCATGTGAAATTTTATTTAATAATCTATATTCATATTTACTTTTTAGTTCAAACTCATTTCAAATTTAATTGAGATAAAAAATAGCAAAATTTCACTGCTGATTATTTACTGACATATTTATCTTGTACTGAAATTAGGCAATCAATTAATTAAATTTTATTGACATTTTGTTAAAATAAATCATTTTTATTAATAACTCGGGTTCTAGACCCCATATCTGTGATTGCTTCTTCTTAAACATTTAATTAAAAAAAATTATTTTAAGTTACTGTTAAGTTATATTTGCCAACTTGAAACCTTTCTCCCCCCTCCCTCTCTTCCCTTTTTTTTAAAACTCTGTATTGAATATTCCCTGTGCAATGTTAACGATCTCGAAGCTTTCAGTTGCATATTCTCATTTTGTTTGTCAGAAAGCCTTTCAAAATAAGTTTTACATTTGCCTTTCCTAATTAAAATTTATCTAAAAATTAAGATTTCTATTTTAAAATATTTACGTTTTGCATATGTATATATCATTAACTAAACTATCTGATTTCAAGCAATCCTCATTAAAAATTTTCTTAAATATCTTTATAAACACATAATCTTTATAATAAAATGGCTAAAGGATACCCAATTCAAGGGAAAAGTTGCACTTAGTAATGTATATATAATGTTTTATGATAGCTTAATTGATCATACAAATTTTCATTTTATTCGAGCAGGGTCGACAGACTTCCGAAACAATGTATGCCGGTGTCCAACAAGACATAGCAACTGGATTTTATCTACCAACAGCAGGTAAATAATATTTCGCTGTATAGGGAATATCTCTCATGCTCTCAAAATAATTTTTCAGGTACTCACAAAATAATTATCTGGTGAACATATTTTTGAATTAAGTAGCTAATATCTCGAATTTAAATTAGTCTTAACTTCATGAGATCATATTTCTGTTAGCATACTAATCTATTCATTATTATTTTACTATTCATAGCTAATAAATGTAACAGCAGTGTGACGTTAGCATAAGCATTAAATTATGTACATTAAGCTATCATTTAATAAATATCCAGTTTGTTTTAAAAGGATGATTTGTATCCCTCAATAAGGTTTGTAAACAACTATTCAGGAATACTGTTTCGAAAAAGAAAAAGAAAAAAAAAAAAAAAAAAAAATCTGAAATGTTTCAGATTTTAAATTACGTCCAAAGGGGCATTTTTTTAACGTTTTGTGTGTTACCTTTATTTATTAAATATCACGTTCTTTGCACTTAAGCCATAAAATTTAGTTGAATAGCAACGTCGCAAAATAATTTTAAAATGAGCATATCTTTAGAATTTCCGATACACAGTTCGACGCGCTGGAGATAAAAAGGTTTTTTTCCCGCCATAGTGTTGCCATTGCTCGTATTTAAGTCGTTGAGTTTGTTACTCAAAAATTCGTTAAAGTGTTACAAAATATGAAATCGATCATAAAGCAAATTCCAAATTTCAAATTTGGGATTTCAGATGCCCATATTTGCAGTAGGATTACGTCATTCAAAATTAGATGGCTCTAGATACCGTTGTTTTATTACAATGCGAGAAATACATACATTTATGCAAAATTTTCATTATATAATTTCTTCAAATATAATGCAGGACTCTAACATTTTGGGGCAATAGTTTGAAAAGTGAACCGACATTTATAGGAGTCCGACGCAAAATGCGAAAACGAAAGTAATAGTCCTTCGGGACTCAAATCTCTTTGGACTAAAAAAACCCTTATCAAAAACCTCTTCTCACGTACAATTTTTTGTAAGAATATTTTAGAATATTCGGAACAAGTTTCTCTTTTTAGACCGCAATATTTTTTTTTTTTTTCTTTCCCGTGAGATTGTAGCTCATATAATTGCTAATAGATGGCAGCACCATACAATACGTATTTGTAGACATTATATGAGAAAGAAAAAGTTAAGATTGATGAAATGTTCATAAATAAGTTAGCTTTTATGAAGATCACAGCTGTTAAGCAAAGTATTTACGCCAGTATTACTATTTATAATAAATAATAGTACCGTAATTTCTAGTAGATACTCCGCCCTGGCGTATACGCCGCACACATGATAATTGACTGAAAAAAAAATAAAAGTTCATCGGATAAGCCGGCACCGCAGTAGCCAAGCATTCCGAAACATGGCAATTTAATATTCATTCATTTAGTAATTCCCTGCCATATTTGGTGTAATCATCATTGATAACATTTATAACATAAATATAATCAGTAATACATAAATAAAGAAGAAACATCTTAACTTGAACTTGCCGAAAACGAACTCTGATGATTTCTAATATATTAATTCTTACGTTTTCGGTAAACTCCGTTTATCAGCATAAATTACCAGATTATGAAAAAGAATACGTAAATTAGATGAACAAACAGAATTTTCTAATTAAATTAAACTACATTTATTTATAGAAAACCTTCAAAATCCGATTCATCGATGTCTGATTTAAATAAATTTAACAAAGGACCATCAAGGTCAGTTTCATCATTCTGTTCTAAATCACTTCTTTCAAAGTCACTATCTTCACTTTCATTTTCTTTTTCAATGATTTCCGATTTAATGAAAGCCGATACGATCGTATCAGCTCGGACTGATTGCCATGCTTTATCGACCCATAAGGCAGCCTCCTCATACAAGCTTTTCTCGTTCGTCCGGAAATTCATGAAGGAATGGAGTCCGCTTTGCATCCATTCCTCCCGCTGCTTTCGTAGTTCGTGCTTGAAAGTTCTATTTATAGTGAGAGCTAGCGGCTGTACAATTTTTGTAAGCCCACCTGGTATCACTGAGACATCTGGTATCACATCGGTGGTATCATGGTATCACATCGGTGGTACACCTGGTATCACATCGGTGCTAAGTTGTTTTGCTTCAGATCTTACCGTATCCGCTAAATGAGATCGCATTGAATCTAGAATTAATGAGTCCTCGGGGTTGGAAAAAAGCACCTTTCCTTTTCCGATAAATTTATGTCAGCCAAAACAACATCACTTCTTCGTACATCCATCCTTTTTACATTGGCGCAAATAATAACTACTTTTGGGAAGTTTTCTTTCGGAATTGTTTTTCTTTTGAAAATTATCAAAGGGGTTAACTTTTCTCCATTGGCGGCACAACCCAAAACACAAGTAAAAGAAGTCTTTTCATTCCCGGTTGTTAACACTGAAATAGTTTTTTCCCTATCGAATGAACAGCAGTGGCGTAGCAAGCATAACTGGCGCCCGGGGCAAAATACCTTTTTTGCGCCCCAACCCCCCCCAAAAAAAAACCACTTACAGTATAATGTATAGAATATATTCGTAATAAGAAAATAATGCAAATAATAAAATGCTGAATATGCCATAAAATACTCTAAAATATATTAAGAATAGTCACTACCTATCTGCACTAGCATTGGATTCGGAAATGTATCTGTGTCGGCGGAAAAATCAGACATACGATGATCTAGAATTAGTTAAAAAAGTATTATTTATTTTACATATTTTTATAATTGTTTTTAAAAATGTACAATTTTTATACAATTAAAAGTTTAATATATATTATAAATAAGTAGATATATTTATTAATAATAATGTAATATTATAATACATTAATACAATTAATTACTATTTATACATTTTTCTTGCCTTGTATGAAGCAAATTTATCAATTACTTCACCAAAGTCGATCCTTTCAAATTTTTCTCTTTCCACATTTAAAAAGGCTAGATGACTTAGGGGATCTTGTCCCATCGTTGCTTGTAAATATGTCAAAATTTATTTTTAATTTGCTGAACGAACGATCACGGGTAGCATTTGAAAATGAAATAGCTGGAGTATTTGAAGTGCGACTCTTAGGTTTGGAGAAACATTTTCTCTATAGATCTGTGATGGAGTTTTAAGTTCCGTTCCTTTTCTACTGCGGAGTAACATCTTGCAGTTACATTCACTGCTCAAAACAATTAGGGTATATTGTGGGGTTGGTATAAAATAACCATATAATCGACAACCTTTTAAACAAAAGGAAATAGAAGAGATTATAAAGGAAAATTATAATGTTTACAAAGTTGGGAATATGAAAATTTAGTCTGTGACGTTATTAAAACTATGCGTTTTAGGCAAGGAGTACGGAGCGACCTGCAGCATTCCTTTTGTAATAGGAGATAAAAAAAACAATCGACACGCGTTGAATGCTTGTAGCAGTGAATATAAGATGTCTCAACAAGATAACTTATTTGAATCGGTAGCCAGGAAGGCCATCAGTCGTTTACAGGAGAGTCAAACGCAATCCATAGTAGCGGAAGCGTTAGGAGTTTCCGAAAATGTCATTTCCAGATTATGGAATCGGTTTCTGGAACCTGGATATGTTTGAGAAATTCGGGACAATGTCGTGTTATTGTTTTAAAATAAAAAACGAGAGCTATATGTGCATTTCGTTTTAAAACATAAAAAATATATCTCTATTTTAGAGAAATAAAGTGGTCAGAAAGAACGTTTTGTATGTGCAGATATTTGGTTGATGTACTGCAAACATTTTATCAGACAAATCAAGAAAATAATTAATTATATTACAATAATTATTAATTTTAAATATATTTTCCAGAAATCGATCAAAATAAAAACTGAAATTTTCCGGAAAATCTCGTTTGAAGACCATTTGGCGCCCCTTTGCGAGCGGCGTCCGGGGCATCATACACCCCCTTGGCCCCCCATCGCTACTCCACTGATAAACAGTTCTGCTCGGAGGACAGTCAAAAGTAACGGGCACTTCGTCCATATTAATTATTTGCCCTCTTTCCAAATTTTGTTCTTTAATTTTCTTAGATGTGTACTCCAAAAAGCTATCTTTTTTTCAAGCCAGTTCATTGGAAGCTTTTGTCCAACTGTTGTTTTGACTCGGACGGATAATTTCTTTCGCTTCATGAACCTGAAACACCAATTAGGTCCTCCAACAAAATTGTTAATGCCCATTTGTTGAGCAATTACCTTTGCTTGAAGGCGAAATCTAACTGTTGATACTGATAATCCACTTTTTCTCTGCTCTATTGACCATTTCTTTAAATTGTCTTCCAAAACAGGCCAGGCTATGACACCAGTTCGACGAGATCTTTTATTCTTAGGCATTTTCTCTAATTCTTCTTGTTCAGACTTCCACCGCCGAATGCATCGCTCGTCAACTTGAAATTCTTTAGCCGCAGCGCGATTTCCAATTGCGATGGCTTTCTTCACTGCCGAAAGCTTAAAAGTATAACTTTTTCTTCGAGTAGGAGCCATAACAATAATAATATTTTTAAAGCGGAAATGATAAGGCAAACAAAAAGCAAGCTACAAAGCAGTAAAAACGTGTATGAAATGAACACATCATTTGGCAAGTAAAGTAGCTGTTGCCAGTAAAACCAAAAGTCATAGGGAAACGCGGGAAAAACCATGGAGTTTAGGAGGAAGTACATGCATTACAGTGTCTTTACAAAGAGCGCCACCTATCTTAGGGGAATTTGGACGGACTCATTGCACTGCCTTAGCACAATCTGAGGTTAGAATATTGCAGCAAATTCGTCCCGCCTCGCTTCTGCGTTACTTACGATCTGAATTAGCTAAGTTTTAAGGACAGAAGAAAAATAAATTTCCCTCAGATACGCCGCCAACCTAAATTTTCAACTTTTAAACACGTATAAGCCGCGGCTTATCTACCCGAAATTACGGTATTTGTTTTTGCGTTAGCAAAGCTATTTTTGAAATATGATTGCTAAATACCAAGGTCATAAATATGACATATATGAGTTGCTGTATTAAAATACAGACTTATTCAAAAATCTGCGAAAGATTTTTAAAAACTTATAGCAAATAAACTATGCAACCTATATCAAATTTTATTACACTGGAATACAAGTAAACTCACCTTTTATATATATATTTCCCTAACGTTCAATGTGTCCATTTTTACCAATAAGGCAAACATTTGTGCATCATTAGAGGAACTGCACATACTGTAAGGCTCATAGAGCCACATTTAAAAGAAAGCAGTGATGATTACTTCTTTTACCGAAGCACAGTTGTCCGACTCATTACCAGAGCAACAACTGCTGAGATTTGCTTACAAAGCTGGTAGTGGAGGTATAAAGGACTTGATGAATTAAGTAAGAAGCTGCTACCTTACTTAATTCATCAAATCCTTTGTACCTCCCCTACCCACTTTGCACCTACCTCCACTTTCGAAGTTCTTCGCAACCACTTTGCTGACACTGTAACTTTGGTCGACCATGACATACTGGAACGTATCGCACCGATGTCCACCATCAAAGTTTAAAGCACAGACAAATAATTTATGTGGCAATCATCAACAGTGAACATATTAAAAATTTGTTAAATATGTGAAAACATTTTTAGTGTGTTTACCACTATTTTCAGTATAATAAAATTTGATATCGATAGTTTAATTTATTTGTTATACATTTTTAAAATGCGTCATAAAATTTTGATGTTAACTACATATGACATTTTTTATTTCACCGGTTGCCAACTGGTAGCTCTCGATCCTCGTGTAATGAAACAGAATTCCCTTTTCTGTATTTATATTCTTGTTACCGATCACAATTTAAGAAATTTATCACGGAATTTTTTCAGCAGTGCATTCCATAACTATTGCATAGTTATAAATACATGCAGTTTCAAATATATTATCGCTTTGATGTATACCTGCATACCAGAGATGCACATTTGAATGCGAGGTAATAAAATTAACATCCTCTGTTCATTAGGTGATAAGCGCCACATTTTTAGTTTTATAAGAAATAATAAATTTTTAAACAGATAAACCAATTCATTCTTTTAGAAACACCCTACATTTTCAAGTTTTTTCCCTTGTCTTTCATAAACAGGATCATTTGGAAAACAAAAGTAACTACGGTATTGATAGTAATATGTAACATTGGAATCTCTTTCCGAACGGTAAACGTATTGTTAATTATCCGTTAGCCATAAAGCATATTAAAATATTCTGATTTGTAAAACATCTGGCCCTGTTATTAAACATTATATAGATGAAGAGAGAAGAGAAGCACCCCAAAGTTTCTTTCTTGTCCGATGGCAGGCCCTCAGCCGAGTTCGACTTGGCCACAACTAAGGCCAGAAATGATGGTTTAATGTCTTCTAGGTCGGAAGCCTGCTCAATGGTGCTATATGCTATATATGAAGGGACGGACAGTTACAACTATACCTTCTCCGGGATTCGAGCCCAGGCCCTCAGGTATCGCAGTCCACTTCCCTAACCAGTATACCGTCTTGGCGGCAAACACCCCAAAGTAAAACATATAATTAGATGAAGCAACAGCCTTCTGTTTGGCGAGTTCAGGTCCCTCATCACCAGGAGAAAAGAAAATTTAATGAGGGACTTACACCTGTATGTTATTAATATGTATCCGATAAATATTATTTTAGAAGGCAATTTTTACTATTGGCTAAATATTTCGAGCATTAAAGACAAAGGAATTTTGAACGGCCTGCAAAGCTAGTGCATGCCTGGTGCTCGTATGACAGAAGTTGGCCGCAATTGATTTATTTCATGAATTGGCATAGAAAAAATGTGGGTCTTTTAGATATTAGGTTGTTGAAAGAGCCGCCCTGCTCAATCGCCAAAATTGGCAAACTTTGGCGCACAATCTGAAACATGTTAATTTTTAACGTTAGCAGGGGCTTATACAGTGGCAATTTAAAAAAGTATAAGATATGACATGAAAATCAGGCCTTCAGACTTAGGATAAAAATCATTCTTACGTCATTTTTGCTTAAACAAATAATTTTAAAATTATTTAAATAATTTCTAAAAACTAAGCACCAAATTAATAAAATTATATATTTATGCATAAGTAATTTTATTGTTATATACATAATTTAGTAATTATTTATGCATGCATAACAAAAAAAAAATAAGTAAAATGTTAAGTTTTTATGCAAATTTTTCAGAGCATATTAACTTGATTTTAATACTTTCTAACTGCAAAATTTACCTAATTATTATCATAATTTACTATAAGAAAAATATTTTATAAAAATGTATTTGTTCTTAAACTGTTTTTATTTCAAAAATTTATTCAAATTATCGTGTAAAAGAGAATTCAATAAATAAATTCGATTCTATTGTTTAATTTGCAGCTTTATGTAAAATCAAAATTATTGAGTTGATGTGTTATTAAAATTATTTCTAAAAATGTTTATATGTACCTCATAAATTACAAAAATAGTATTTTTATTTGTTTGCCTGAAATTTACTTCATCGCTCCTTATAATAATTCATTCTGGTTTTCGAATATAGAAGGTAAACTTTGCGAATGGTCTGTGTCGGATGTTGATCCAGAACAATCAGTTTCGTCAGCGTTTGTAGACTTGCTTTCAGCCTTAGTTCTACGCTGTGAACCAGGAGAATCCGGACAGCTCATCTGGACACCAAATTCTGAAACACCAGACACTGTGTATTACCAGGTAAATTAGCATTATATTCTTTTTTTAATGAAACTTTTCTTTTGTTTACATTGTTAGCAAGAGATTAATTACAGAAGGTGTTAACACATTTTTTAGAACGATTTCGATAAAGAACTAACAAAAAAAAAAAAAAAAAAAAAAAAAAAAAAAAAAAAAAAGAAATGTTTTGGTATAAAAAGTTCTGGCAACAGTTTTATTACTTGAAATGACAAATGTAGTCTCTTACTTTTAATTTACTCATTTTGTTTTAAATGTCGCATGTAAATAAGCTGTAGATTGAAGGATATGTTTCTGCATTTTCAGAACAGAAATATTCCTATTCCAATAACTCAGAAACGTTAAGAAGTGCAAACTACGCAACATTATTAATCAGTGAGGGAAAAACAGTTAATCAATTACTTCTACATGCACTTTGCAAAGTAGAACTAGAATAGAAATTTTACAGAAAGCCCTTTTATCATGGAAATCACTATGCAGACTTAGAGCTTAGAAGAAAGGCTATCAGATCGAACATTTAAAAAATGCTTTTTACATTTTAAACATTAAATAGACTGCCATGAAATCGTTTTAAAACTATGTAAACACCCTTTGTAACAAAACTTTTTTAAATAAAAGTGGTTTTGTTTATTTAATGCAAAAAACGAGTTGCAACAAGAATAAACTTGGAGATTGCTAACACATTTTTAGAAAAGATTTAAATGTGAAAAATTTCAAGTATTTAAAAGTATTCAAAAGAATAAACAATGTGGAAATACAATTATCATTTTGAGCTGTAAAGCAGTTAATGTAATTCTGATGAATTCTGCAATATTGGTGTATTTAAATTTTGCCTTCTTAAAAGATCGCACGCGTAAACAAGCTTTGGATCGATAGCTATGTTTGTATTTCCTCTAAATTGAAGTATTCTTATTTTCGAATTTAGGATCGCTGTGAAAATAATAAAATTAACGTTTTTAAATGACGGGAGAAAATATAATATTGTTCATGCTCTAGGTAACCTGATGTAAATTGCAGACGCAGCTAAACAATGAATACCGAATCAGCGAATACAAGCGCAAAATTATATATTGTGACTGTTAATGATGCATGGATTTAATGAATTTGATAAAATACATATTGATTTACTTGTGTAATATATGAGAAAAAGACGCAGAAATTTTTTATTAAGAAACCAAAGAAAATTTCACTAAAAGATTTCATTGTCGCTGCTAATTTTCTCGTGCAGCAAAAAGTAAAATTCTGTTAAAAAATTTAAAAAGTTTTGAAATCAAATATTTCAATTATGAAAAATATAATGAAATAACTATATTTAATACTTTTATACATCTTATATCGAAAACCCGAAGATGATCTTTATGCGAAATAGCCAGCCATCTGTAGCATTAGCCAGCTCATTCGACAAAAGCCTTTACTAAGACAAAGTAACTAAGAGAAAGTTAGAAATTACCTTTCCGTCGCTTTCAGTTATTTTACACAAAACTGATTATGTTATCGGTGTATAAACGATCAATTTATTTTTAATTTTATAACTAGCAAAACCTACATTTTATCATTAAAAAATTAGCTGTTATATCTTAAATTTAAATTAGAATTAATACGTTTTGCAATATAATGATATCAACATGAAATAAATGCGTAGATCAAGTCATTTTTTAGTAGAGGAGGAAATTGGGCATCGGTAGGAACAGGAGCGGCTTAATTTCCTAAGGAAACAATCTATATTGCAAACTTCATGCAGTAAAAGAAAACAAATAATAGAAATTCTTGTAAATTAATGTAGATATTACAAACAATTCAGTTAACGCAAAAAATTTAGTAATTTAGATGTATTGTAAAATGTAACCAACAAGCATTTTATTAACTATGCAAATCATTCCCTTTTACTGTAAAAGTTTAACAGTAAATGATACCGCATTAAAAGCAAAGTTTCGAATTTGTAGTATATTTAATTAAGTACTCCATAAAATAAATAATGATAGACAGAATATCTTCATTATAATTTATAACACTATAGTTTTTTCCCCTTATTGCAGAGCTTTACCGGAAAGCATCTCGGTGGCAGAATTCGAGTGGTCGACTTTTGTGAAGAAACCAATCCTCTCAATTACCTACAAAATGAATTTCATGAACGTAAAGAGTATTCTGGAATCAAAGGTCATAAACTCAAGCCTGGTTTGGAAAGAGAAGGTGCTGCCAGTGGTGAAAGAGAAAATGGTAACTTTCAAACGAAAGGATCGTCAGGTGATCATTTTGGTACCGTAAATAGAGATCCCGAAGACAGAGAAAGGTTTAATATTCAGTCTGAAAAGAGAATAGATTATTTTGATGAAAGATCCAAAGATGGTAGAATAACTTCTGAAATTTTAAACGATCAAGGTACTAATAAAAAGATAGAAAAAGAGGTACACTCTGCAGATTTTGGACATGCTATTAGTTTTACCGAAGGTATCGTACATCCCCACGACGAATCAGAAAGATCAGATACAGATATTCCAAACCATTCAGGAGTAGAAGGCAGTGTTAGCCGAAATAAAATTACTGTAAACACGGATAGCCCACGTGATGTATCGCCTTCTGTTCAGTCACCAGATAGTGGTAGCCCAATACTACAACAGTTGCCAGGATTCAGGCCTCAGTTTGAAGGCGGGTTTGTGCCTCTTGTATTAAATCCTGTTAAAGATAAACAATCATCTGCGCCAAAAGAATTTGTTGTTCCTGCACCTCACATGCAAAGGCCACCGAGACCATTCTTGTTTAATGAGTCAATACCATTCCATGGAACTTTTAAACCAGGCGTTCCTGACTTCAGCGGTTTTGATATTTCCCACTATACCAATTTAGAGTCATCACAACCACAGAATCATGTTGCAGACAATGTACCACTTTCGTCTATTCCTCAAGTACAATCTATCCAACGACCCTCATCGCCATCAAGAGGATTACCACCCCAATTATTTCATGGTCAGAAAGATGCTCATCAAATGGCTCACTTATTTGGCTATGGACAGCGACAACAGAATCCTAACTTTCGTGTGCAGCATCAAATAGCACCAGTACAACTTCCAAGGAAAATGCGTCCGAATATTCCTCTTGAAAACCAGGGAGAAGAACTGGCACAAGTATCATCCCAAAGAGTACAAATTGCTCTACAAAATCCAGCACATGATAAAGGAAAAATAGGTCGAAGGCCAAATTTGCAAATTATGCACATAAACGAGCATAAACGGCAACATGGCTTGCAGCCTAATAAAGTAATGCATCAGCAGCAAATACAACGTCGCCCTGATTTCGTGGAAGGTGGAGAGATTGGTGGGAATAATCAAAGGAAGAAACCATCTGATGGCAATTCTTTTATGCCGCCATTAGGCAGTAACATTAACAACCGCCCCGAACAGCAAAGAATGCCACCTGCCATGCAACCTGTCATGCAAGCAGGAGGATTTCAAAGACCTTTTAATTTCCGCAGACCTCTGCCACCAAATAACGGAGTAATTAATGACATACAGCAAAGTAATATGCATTTACCCCATGCAAACATACCAATTAATGATATTAAACAAGGTAATAGGCTCTTTCCTTCTAATACACTCATAGATATTCAGCATAGTAACAGACTTCAAAGAAGGCCACCACTAGGACAGCCGAGACATCCCAAACCATTTATGCAAGGGCCATTTACAGATCCAGCTCAACATTTTCCAGGTCAACAGAAACCCATTCTTTTCCATCAAGCAAAACAAAGTAATGCTAACATTAGAGTAGTAGATTCAATGTCAGACACCACGTTTATTACAGGGGAGGAATCTCAACCGAATTCTCATTTAAGGAATCCAAACAAGAATATTGTTATAAGGCCTGAAGATAGTAAATCGATAGAAGATATTGATTTATCAACTTCAGAAATAAAAGATGAAAATCCTTCGTTCAATCCAAACCTTGCTCAACAGAATAATAAAAACGTACACCCATCATTAAAGTTTTTACATCAACTACCCATTGTAAATCAAAATACACATGTTCAAGATAAACGACCTCACAGTGTCTCAGAATCATTTCTCTCAAAAGATTCGAATAAAGTGAATGCAGAGAAGTTACCAGACTCATCACCTGTTCCAGAAATTCAGAAAATAGAGGAAACTTTATCTCCCACCGAAAACATTCATGAAGATATCGCATCATCCGATATAAATAAAGAAGCACATATCTCAAAGGAAAGAGACAACATTGACATAATCCCAACTGAATTATTATCAGATCACCATCAGAAAGAATATTTTGTAACAGAAATACCTGAATTTCATGGTAATAAAGAGACAGGAAAAGCGGAAGCAGTTCTTACCGATAAAAATAACGATGCCATTCAATCGGAACTTCATCCCAGTGATTTTGAAAATGTTGATTTAGAACCACAAGTAGACGGTAATTTTTCTCAAAGCGATTCGTCAGCTGCTGAACCTATTAAAGAAGAAATAGCTTCTTATGAAGAAATCGAGCATGATATCAATGATTCTGATGTATATTCAGCTCTGCCTGAAATAGAATATATTGATTATGACGTACCATTTGGTGCAAGGCTAAAATCTCCTGGAAGTAGCTCTTCAAAGGTTAAGCCTGTCTACACTGCTGCTCAAAGACCAGCAGAACTAGAACCTATTTATATTGCCCCACAGAGGCATCCGGAGCTTAAACCTATTTATGATGTTCCACGCAGACCAACCCAGCCGAAACCTACTTATCCTGTTCCACAGATCCCAATGCAGTTCCGCCGCAAATCTCAAACAATTTTGCTACCGTCAAAAAATAAGTTAGAAGAACTACCAAAATCTTTAACTACCATTCCTCCTACGCAAATTTCAGACGAGAGCAGACTTAATTCATATCATCCCATATCTCAATATGTTGCTTCAGACCATCCAAAAAATGATTACATCGAAGAAAAGGACAATGAATTTAAAGGTTCACATTCTGAGAAGCATTTAACAATATTTATTAACGATAATTCATCATCTTCTGATTCTAAACTTTATTACCAAACACAGAATAATTACTGCTGAGACGTCATTCAGTGATAATTCAAATAATCCTTCGCTACCTATATACGCTGGAAGAAAAAATATCCTTCCCAACAGCTCAAATAGTTCTTCCACCCCACCTCCTATTACTCCTGGAACACTTGAAAATATCACTCTTCCAGAAAATATATTGCAAAAATACCCATCTCATGACAATGGTACAGATTATTCCATTTTAAATCATGTACTGTCCCTTATAGGTGGAGAACCGCAACATTCTAAACCATCTCCGCGTGATTCAGATTCTGAAAAGTGAAATGCAATAGAAAACATGGTTTAGTTCTAGCAATTTTATTTATTATTACGCTATCATTTACTCAAAATTATTTTCATTTCTTTCGACATTCATCATCCTAAACCTTAAAAAAAGGATGTGTATTTGCCTTTTCCACGAAACGTAACCCATAAGACAGATGTTGGGTTTCGCATGATGGCGGGTCCATTTGTGCTGCTGTTGCATCTCTTTTTTTAGTCACACTTGATCATCATCAGCATAAACATTTGAGGGTACTTTGTGACGAATTCAACACTTTGTGGACTTGGAAGTCCAGTTTTCATTCAAGTGAATTACGGCTAACAAACACGTAATTGTTCTTAAATCGAATAAAGCAGCTGAAGTTTTGTAAGGCTCATGTGCGAAGATGCAACAAAGCCTGAATAAATTAATTTTTATAATTTTTTCTTGATTATTCTGATTTCTGTGTGTGTTACGTATGCTTATCCAGTTACCAAGTGGAGTTTATTCCAAATTTCAATCAAACGAATAAGCACTAAAATAAAATATGAAATATGTGAGCATATAATTAATACTTAAATTATTAAGACAATGTATGTATGATCATACATTTAAAATCTTACATTGGATTGATTATATTATTTAAGCCAATAAATTAAATGATGTTTAATTCCTCTTTTATTGAACTTTCTGGGTCTCTGCATTGAACATTATGGCAGAGTAGGCTACGAAGATATTTGCCCAATAATGTACGAGCAAATACGAATTATGTAATTTGATACATTTAAGCAACTTACGAGCAGGGCCTGATTAAGCCATCCTAGCGCCTTAAAACACATGGTGTCTTTTAGGGAGCAGTCTAGGCTAGTGATGGGCAACTTCGGTACATTCTTGTACCCGGTACGAGAGTAACGGGTACAGACAAGTACCCGGTACAAAATACCCGTTACTCAAGTAACGGTTACTTTGAAAAGTACCGAAAACCGATTTCAAGTACCGAGTACCCAAGTAACGATTTGGAGTACCGAAGTAACGAAATACCGGAGTAACGGTTTGCTATACCGGAGTACCCTAGTAATGGTTTACTGTACCGGAGTACCCGAGTAACGATTTGGAGTACCGAAGTACCCTAGTAACGATTTGGAGTAGCAATGTATTCTAGTAACGATTTGGAGTACCGAATCGGTACGATTTGGTGGTACGCAGCTAACGATTTTGCGCACTGAAAGAACTCTGCCACGTCACCACGTGTTTGATTTTATCTGTACGGAGCAAGATTTTGAATATCAGAAAACATGTCAACTACGGAAGTGTCTGAGGAGCAAACCATTCATGGACACAAGGAGCGCATATCACCATTTCGCAAATACAACCAGATACTACTGTCCTCGTACCAAAACCGAAGTGAGTTGAACCCTCATCCATCCTCCAGTAAGGAATACCGAAATACCGAGAAGAGACGCATATTTTCGTTACAAAGTAACGAATACCGAAAAGTACCCGTTTCGGTACAGAAGTAACGAATACCGAAAAGTGCCCGGTTTCGGTACAGAAGTAACGAATACCGAAAAGTACCCGTTTCGGTACAGAAGTAACGATACCGAAAAGTACCCGTTTCGGTACAGAAGTAACGAATACCGAAAAGTACCGATTTCGGTACTGAAGTAACGGGTACTTGGATGTACCGATTTTCAGTACCGGTTACAACTAAGTACCCGTTACAAAATACCCGGTTCGGTAGTACCGACTCATCACTAGTCTAGGCCTTACTGTACTTGCTTTCGTAAGGGAAAAACAGAATGATTTGTATGTTGGTATCGTCCTACATCCGGGCATTGTCGGCTTAGGTTACCCAGAGGCTGTTGGCACACTTTTTAGACGATTTTGCTATGCTATAAGAAAATTCGTCAGCTTGGAGATTTGTTTTTCAACTTCAGCTTTATTTTTTAAATTATTAATTATCATCTGCTAATTGACAGTTTTGTTTTCATGCAAAATGTCGGTTTTAAACAAGCAATTAATGGAAGGTTATGCTTGTGCTCCTTCCGAAGATAATTATTCGTATATAGTTATTAAAAAATCTGTGAAAGATATGGTTTTTTGATATCTAAAACTACGATAGGTAATATTGTCAGTAAGAAAGAAAAAAAAAGTCGAAGTTTGGCTGCAAGCAGAAAAATTGCTCCTAATAATATCCACGAAAAAAAAACTGAATGTTTCGAATTTTGCAAAGGTAAGATCTTTTATGTTAAAAGAAGTCGAAAGACAATCGCAAAATCATTAAAATGCTCACTGCCAACTGCAAACAAAGTGGTTAATGTTGATTTGAATCTTAAAAAGGTGAAAAAACATAATGTGCATCATCTTTCTCCACGAGATATCACCCAACGCAGAACATGCTGCAGAAGTCTTGATGAGAAACATTTATCCGGACAAAAATGGAAAAATGTTGCCATAATAGATGAATCTTGGGCGTATTTAAATGACTACAATAAAAATAGATCCATTATTATCATCAAAGAGGACGAAAACATTCTTGAAACATGGTTCAAAGGATCTAAAGAAAGTTTTTCAAAGGAATTTATGATTGTTGCTGGTTTTTCATATAACGGCAAATAAAAAATAAAGAGGAGAACGTTAAGATCAATTCCACATATTATCAGGAACATATCTGATACCCAGTTTTCAAGTATGAAATACTTTCTATTTAACCACAGTGCCATCAATCAGTAGAACTGCATCAAAACAAAGCAAGTAACCATGCGTCAAAAATCCACTGTTCATTTCCTAGAAAAAATGGAACAAAAAACGGGTATCAAGCCCCTACCCTTCATTCATAATCCCTAGTAAATATTCTGATGTATCATCGATGGATTTTTGCGCTTTGGAACTTTTAAAAAACGAATTGTCCAAACGTTGACCAACAACACTCCTTAGATTTTGGAAAACTGTTTCAGAAGAATGAGGTAAAATACCTCTTCTTACGCTAAAAAAGGCTCTATTCTTTTTGAAATTACGATGTAGAAAGATATAGAAGAATAAGGATTATCAAAAAGAACATATAAAACGCAAAAGTTTTCGGCAACACAAATAAAATCTTCTAAAAAAAGGTGCGAACAACCTCTGTAGTCAGGTCTATTTACTTACTGTAAACAATGCTGATAAACGAAATAACATTTACTTAACAAAATTCAACTAACAAATTAAAAACTAAAAATTCAAATTACCGTCCAGAAATCATTATAATTTCGTTATTATTTTTTTTTCGATAATTACGGAAATTTCAAAACATTACGTATGAATGAGTTATAGGTTAAAAGAAGAAAAATGCTTACAAATAGTTCGAACAACTATGTATAATGATAAAATCGAATTAATTAAAAACTATGCATTATCAGTACACATATATATTTAAATATGTTACTGTAATTGCTTCACATACACCCATATATATGAAAAGTTGCAGAGATATTCTTCTCTATAAGCAGCTGAATTAATTACAATGGTATACTATCCAATGTAGTGAAAGAAGAAATTGTTAAAACTTGTGAGTGCATTTTTCAGATGTGTGAATTTTCTTATAGTGTTCACTCTTTATCACAATCATTTTAAAATTTCAACTTAGATTTCATTCCAGTTTTGCTATCAACAATGTAGTAAATGCGATGGCTTACAGATTCCAATAATATAATATTTTCTTTCAACTAATGATACTAACCACAGACACTGTAAAATGTGAGTTTTAATGCAAAATAAAATTTTTAGTTAATAATTAAATCTAAAAATTACATTAAATCCCATTCATTCTCTAACAAGCATCAGATTATACTCCTTGGGAGTAAAAGTACAATTTCAGAGCAAAGAAATATTTTTAAGACTATCTCATCTAGTCTTGGTCCAATGAACCTTCTTTGAATATAATCCACATCAAACTGAAATTTATATCAGTCTCAGTTGTTCAGAATATTTGGTCTGAAGTTCATTTGAAGTGTGAATACATTTTTCAAACAATCGTCACTAGACAGAAGCTATTCTTAATAACTCAAACAACGGATTAGAAGAAGCATTCGTTCCTTATGATCATAAAGCTTCTTATAAGATCATATCAAATAATTTTTTTTTTAATGTCATGAAAACATTTTCTTCGCTTTTCTTTTCAGCATTTCTAAATTTAGAATTTTTACTACTAACACACAGTCCGATATTAAACATTTACCTGTAAAGAAGCCATTTCAGATCTGAGGATTTAAACTTCATTCTATTTATGTTATTAAAATGTCTGATACACAAGGAAACCTTCTAAGCTTTGCATGACTGGATGTGTCAAAGAATTCGGAAATAATTGCGGTCTTTTCTAAACTCAGTAACATGCTTAAAATGATGTTTGAATACTCGTATATGCTCTAAGTTTTCAAGTTTGATCCAAATGTTCGTTCCCTTACGGTGTTGCCATTGCTCCTTTGAAATGCTTGAGTTTGTTAGTAAGAAATTAGTTAAAACAAATTAGTTTATAAAATATTAAATACGCAATAAATGTCCATATTCGAGTGGAGGACTATTATTAAAAATTTGATGGCTCTAGGTACCGTTGTTTTTTCACAATGCGAAAAACATGCATACATTTATGCAAATCCTTCATTATTTAATTTCTTTAAACACAATACAGGGCGATAACAAAAAAGTAATAAGAATAGAAGGGGGCAGAATGAGACTAAGACATAAAAGTACAACTAATGCTCGTTATAACAGTAGTTCCATTACAACGACCAGTACAAAGCGTCTCTAATTAATAATAATGTGTTAAATCCACTTCATTATAGCAATGGTATCTTAGAATATTCTTTCCGTTTACGATGCAACATGTCTTCTAACGGATTGGATTGGATTGGATTATTCAATTATGGCAAAGCACACGAGGCCTATCTGCCTAAAGGGAGGGATGCCTTCGTGGAGGGCTTTCTAAGGGAAACTGGCTCGTATACACGTTACACATGAGGAAAACCACGAAAACGCCCATGCAGCCAGCCCGTTCGCAGGATTCGAACCTCGGACCGAACTACCAGTGTTCAGCGTCTTTACCGCTCGGCCGCCTGGTGGGCCCGTCTTATAACGAGTGTCGTTTGTTTCAAAATAAATGCTTCAAAAAGTTAGTGCTATTTATTTTTCATTTTAAAATACTCTCTAATTTTCTCGTGTACCATGAATTTTATCTTGCATGTTAGCTAGTTCTTCCACATTCTTGCTTGTTACTATAAATGCTTCTACTTTCTGTATAATATTCTGTATAAATGCTTTCATTTCTGTATAAATAATCTCTCGCATTCATTATTAGTAATTAAGGTATATATCCTTGTATTAGTCCAGCATACTTTATGAACATATCTATTACGACCAAAATACACAGTCACTTTTGAAAGCTTGATATTAAATCAAAAATAAAAGGAC